TTTCGGTCTATTCGCCTTCGTGAAAGCCTAGATCATTGTTGCCTGAGCTAGGCTGTGATGAAGGCGAGAGGCCAGAACGTAAGCTAAGTAATCTGGAATCTTGGATAGAGGACAACAAAACCGTATCCACTGGTAACCGCATGATTTGGTGCACTTTTGCTTTAGCTCGCATCCCATTGGTCTCGACATGTTTGAGAATATCTACTAGCCTTTTGGAAGGCTCCGCCTTTTTGGAGATTTACGCTGTTTGCTATAGTCACACAAAAGTAATAGTTCCTCAGGCATGGTATTTTTTGTTACGAACGCAAACATCAACTTGGAATAGAATGGATCAAGTAGGGCTGTACCAAAATTTATTCAACATATTAAAAGCCATTTCGGAACGAATTTTGGCAGGTAGAAGCCAATACATACAGCGTTCTGTCCCCTTACCTTCCTCTTATCAGGTTCTGCCACTATGTACCCTGAGAAAGTGCCCTTCTTATAAAAATTTGGAGTGTGGTGGGTGATTCCTACAGGCATGATCAAAAATATCCTATTCATTGAGTTCATGGTTCTTCGGCTATCATGTTCACCTCCTTATCACTCAACTGAGATCACTTATTCTTTTTCAAAAATCCACTGCCGTTCTATCAAAAACTGCCCTCCCCCTTTTCTAGGACAAAATACGAGTCCTCTCCAACGCTTCGAGAAAACTTCATTACAGGCTTACCTGGTAACATTTTGTCTTCCTACCTCGGTGTCTCTCGGTATAGTGTAGAAATGTAGCACTTTGGGGTGAATATTAGAAAGATCTGTTAGAAGGCAAGAGGAAAACTCACCTTTCTTCACTATTTATTTCTTACTTGACTACTATAGTAAGGGCGGACGGACACAGATGAAGGATGATTTCGAACTGATAAAACTCGTGGTTATTTCGATTTCAATTTCACAGACTGTGCTCAGCATGTGACATGGTACATGTACTTGTACAAAAATTAGGTTGTGGCTTGGCAGGCGTGAGCTTGTCAGATTGAATGCACAGCTCGAAATGTGAAATAGAAAAAACTTCAGGTCTTAGTTCGCAATTCGTGTAAGAATTCATGGGAATAATTCGAAATCTCATCACTTGAACCCTTATTTTTTATCAATGGTAGAATTCTCTCGAAAAACTAAACCGACACAGAGCTGCCATTGTTCGAGCATGCAGTCAGCTCAAACAATCAGTCTATTTCAATGTATGTAACCATTAGTTAACGATCTACAATTTCCGACATGCTCTTTTTGTGATCATTACAGGAATCTTCAAATATTGAACGAAGGAAAGGCCAAAACCAAGTTGATGCTGCTCAGATGGAATTAACCAGGTTGACCTGTGAAGCGAACTCTCTGCTGTCTTCAGTGGAGCAGAGAAAACGTGAAATTGAAATCGAGGAAAGGAAACTACAGAAGGCAAATCTGTCTCAGCAGCAGTAAGCACTGCGACTATTTTTTCTAGAACAGAAATTCAGTTTTTGCGCTGAAAGCGTTCGCAGCAGCAGCATACGGATTTAATGTCAATATTCGCCATTACTTACGACGAGATTTTTGATTTTAAACTGCATTTTGCTTTCAATTGCTTTTCAACATAGCCGATTACGTGTAAAGCTGAGTGCTGATTTACTAGTCTGGTAGGGAGTGAAAATGTGGCAAATAAGATGTAGTTGATCGTGAGTTTAGACTTCACTATCTCTCCCCCTTTTTCTCGCGGGCGGGGGGGGGGGGGGTGGAAGAAACTTTCATACAATCCTCCTCCAGAAACCTGTCCTTGTCGTACACGTACTATCTAACTACTTATCTCTTCTGGAAGCTCTGTCATCTACAGGGGGGCTTGGGGAGGAGGAGACGGAAGTGCTGGTCGGAGGGGCAAAACTGCAAATTTTCAATTATAAGCGCTTCAAAGTAGCTCTTCTGAAAGCGTGCGCATTCCCTCATTTTCCGAATATATCCGTCATTCGTCTTTCTTCGAACGGAATGCATGCCATGCAACTGATTCCGAATTTTTACGAAACGCTGGCAGTGTTTAATTTTCTAATTCACCTTTCTCTTTCATTTCTTTTTTCTTTTCTATTTTTGAGTTCTCGCCAGAGAATCCAGTGAGAATGCTGCACTGCTGAACAGGGCGATGCAGTTCATCGATGCATAAATTTTTGACTTTCGTTCCGGAATGAGCTTCAGAAACTGATTGGAACTATGAATATTATTTACTGCACATGCTAGCCTAAAAAATATAAGCTGCTGCACAAAGATCCTCTTTTCTAACGTTCTTTAAACGATTTTGCCAATTGCTTTCGCTACGACTTTGATTGTATTCATAGTGTTCTCCCCAAGTTCTATAGAGATGTTTGGGACACGCCACATTTTAGGGGTTCTGAATGCATATCTGGTGGAGTGGCTGTTGTCTGGCTATCGGGAAATGGTGACTTTGTGTTACAGTGCACAAGATATCAATATGCTCGGTCTTCTAGAAAAAGCCGTCTATCGCAACTGGTAGAATCAGAACCGCCTCTATAAAAAACCTATACAAACAAGTAGCCAGATCATCCGAATAGTTTTCCGTATTTTTAGACAATTTTTTTAGTTTTGTAGTCGTTGCAAAATCATAGGACACCCCTCGGAAGTCTCCTTACAGTTTGAATTTTTTATCCATCCAGCAACGATGGTAGCACTTGTCCGGTGTATGGTAATTCTATTAGAGTTACGGTTTGAGTTGCTCCCTTTCCCTCCGCGAGTGAAAGCCAGACTTTCTTTTTATACGCGCCTGATGGCTCTACCATGAGCATCGAAGCCATTTTAGGAGCTCAAAGAAAACCATAGCTTGGTGCTCCAAATTCTCACTACGAATAGAAATAAGAGTGCACCAGGATAAATAGCAGAAGTTCTCCAAAAGATTAGCTATCATTTCGAAGATTACATCAATACAAAATCACCATGTACGGTCAACCTGTGTCAGCTCTACGAAAGAAAGAGGATAGAAATGAAATCCTATAGCAAAATCACTGACATGGACAACTAGCGTAGGGTCCTGCGAAGCGTGCTGCCATGCTCGTTAGGCGTTGACTGAAACCAGAGAAGAGAAACTTCAGGTCTGGAACTCAGGATGAGGTTACGCATCACCACATCTTTAGGAAACGATCACGAAAATTTTGTTGAAGGAATAAGTCGAATCCTGGCCCATATTTCTTTACAAGTGAACAGCAGTCATCTGAACCATCAAAGTTAAACTGCTCATTACCGAAGAAGCGCGGTCTGAAAGGAACAAATTACTTATTATTTTGAATGAAAAATTGCTCAACAAAGCCCAGCTTCGGCCCAGTCTTTCGTTAGATTTCTCTTCTCTGGTTTCAATCAGAACGCCTAACGAGCATGGCAGCACGCTTCGCAGGACCCTACGCTAGTTGTCCATCAGTGATTTTGCTATAGGATTTCATTTCTATCCTCTTTCTTTCGTAGAGCTGACACAGGTTGACCGTACATGGTGATTTTGTTTGATGTAATCTTCGAGGTTATAGCTAATCCTTAGAGAGAACTTCTGCTATTTATCCTGGTGCACTCTTATTTCTATTCGTAGTGAGAATTTGGAGCACCAAGCTATGGTTTTCTTTGAGCTCCTAAAAATGGCTTCGATGCTCATGGTAGAGCCATCAGGCGCGTATAAAAAGAAAGTCTGGCTTTCACTCGCGGAGGGAAAGGGAGCAACTCAAACCGTAACTCTAATAGAATTACCATACACCGGACAAGTGCTACCATCGTTGCTGGATGGATAAAAAAATTCAACTGTAAGGAGACTTCCGAGGGGTGTCCTATGATTTTGCAACGACTACAAAACTAAAAAAAATTCTAAAAATACGGAAAACTATTCGGATGATCTGGCTACTTGTTTGTATAGGTTTTTTATAGAGGCGGTTCTGATTCTACCAGTTGCGACGGCTTTTTCTAGAAGCCGAGATATTCATATTTTTGGGGGGTGTCCTATGATTTTGCAACGCACTGTATGTTAGTGGAGACATCTTCAATCCGCTGTAATTGGTCAGGAGTCACAACACAGAAAAAACTCATCTTGTCAAAAACGGCGTTGGAGTCAATAGGGAACCTAAAAAAATCGTGGGAAACGTTCTCAGACCACTGGCTTCGGAAAATCTGCTGATCATCTCGGCACGGCTCCGCTCCAGCACATACAGTGGTCAAGAAGCGGTGCGATAGGCAGCTTCCTGTTTTAATCGGACACTAAATGACCAACCCTTTTTCCGGAGGCTTTTTGTGCTTGGACGTACTGGAGAAGGCCTGCTCCATTAGACTTCTGATTTCGGGTTCTTCTGAAACGGCCCTTGGAATGCTGGTACGAAATTGATGGTCTCCACCTGCGTGCTGCATGCGACGCAGGTTTAACGTCACAGGAACTGTAATAAGGCTAAAGCGATCGTTTCGAAGACACTAATTGTTTTTTGATTGACTTGTTTGTTGTAACCAATGCTCATAATTAGAATCGATTCACCAAAGGTTCATTTCGAAGTGAAAATCAAAATATGTTTCGACGTACCAGTAATTTCGTCCCATTCAGTACTGCAAATGAATTGAGCGAAGAATTTCAGGCTCGGCGAGCTCTCGAAGCAAATTACCAGCATCGAGTCGTCCTTATCGGAGCTGCCGGCCGTCGATGAGAGTCGAGCTGAAGACTTGCGAGGGCAGCGACAACTTCTACAAAAGGAGGTATAGCGAGGCAAAAAATGTGGTACTGTTAGCGATGGAACCTTCCTTTAGGTGGAGGAATTAAGAGAGCAGTGTCGGATGGCGGAAAAGTTTGCTGAAACTGAAGGTGCACTTGAAAGAAAGAACGCACAAAGGGAAGAAGTAAGGCAAGAATTGGACGCATTGATTGAGAAGCACTCTAACACCTTAACTCTCGAGTTCGGAAGCGTTCCCGATGGCCCTTGGAGGTACGTATGTGTTTTTTTATTCATAAAGAATTTTTGAAAATTAACGAAGCAATATTTCTTGATCCTCAAATGAAGGCCTCCGCAATTCTGCGCGTGCTGTGCGCTCATGAACTTTGACCTCATAAGCTCGTCTTACTCACGAGGAAAGGTCACCAGGTCGGTCCGGCCATTTGCAATGAGGTGTATACCTACGCATTCGTCTTGAGACGATAAGCTAGAAACCGCTTTTCTTATCTGCTAAACGGTGCTCTGAACGGAGTTACGGAAGTTTTCCCCTCAACACTGTACTTAAACGCAGTATATGAGCGCTATCATTGGAGTCGCCACTATAAGCCAAGCGGGAAGGCGCACATCGTGGTTGACGTGGCGTAAGTGGTAACGCTCCAGGCTTGTAGGCGAGAGGTCATGGGATCGGTCTCTCGTGGTGTTTGTTGTTTTGCCTTTTTGAAAACATGACCAGAAAGGCTTTTAGCGACAGTATTTCCTCAATTGCCTGCCTTTACCTGCCTGTGTAAGGAGTTAGGGAGCACCCCGTCGCAGGTTGAAGCTATTATTTAATTAATATTTGCCATGACTGAAAACGACGCTCATAGCCCACTGATAAGGTGTTTTTGCGGTAAACGAGTATGATATTCGTGTTCAGGAGACCGAATTTTCCCTGGTTACAAGTTTCCAGCTGAATCTGAGATTTTGACCTACACTCGAGAAAGGGCAGTCAACATACAGTCAAACGAGAGAAGGTATGAATCGAAAACTAACTGGAAAAGCACCTTCCCTGAATTTTGATGCAGAGTCATGTAAAGCGAGCAATTTCCATGCCAAGAGTTCAACGATAGGTTGATGATATGATGGTTGACTCACCTCATTTTTTAGGGTTGGGTCAAAATCTCAGATTCGGTAGGAAACTTATCTCCAAGGGTAGTTTGATCTCCTGAACACGAATATCACGCCTGTTTGCCGCGAAAAAGCCTGACACGTGCATTACGGGCACCATGTTCATACATGGACGACTACTGCCCAAACCTGCAAGGAACTGCTCGAAATTTTTTCGTACAGGGAACTAATGGCAAAGTTGATAAATTAAGAAGTTAGAAGCTTTCTGGCTACATCTTCACGAAGCACAAAAGAAACAGACTCTCCGAGGAACCGTTCCCACGACCTCGAGTTCGGGGCACTGCCACTGCGCTTCCTTGCTTTATAACTACGTTCAAAGAATCGTTTAGCAGATAAGGAAGGCAGTTCTGAGCTCAGCGCCTCGAGGCGACTTCAACGGTATACGACTCATTGCAAATGGCCGGACCGGCCTGATGACCTTCCCTCGTTATTTTTATTTCCCTGTCCCGGATGGGAAGCATATCCAAGAATTATTATTTTCTCAATCGCCTCGGGCTTTCGTGACAGAACTATCTACATGAGTCACAAGAATGCTGAGTTGTGAAGTAAAACTTTCGCCCCAAACGGGAATCGAACCCGCACCCCTCGTTTTCCGGGACAAGTGCGCTACCAGTTACAGTA